GTAGATCGAGCCAGTGTCAAACAGAGGCCAGGGGGCATAGACCTTATCTTGCACTAGCTACTCTGAACCATATAAAAATGAACGCGTTACTAGTATAACTTTTGATTGTTATAGCGAGGACTGTTATGTTTAGTTATTGCCTAATTTGTTTATTAGGGCCAGTAAGTTGCTTACGTGTGAACCGATTTCGAAGGTGGAATATCACTTCATTTATTAGCCACAGCCTTGTGAGAGACACAGTAGTAGGGTTGCTTTAAAGAAGTTAACCCTGAATACTTATACATCGCCTAATCCAGCAGTTAGATACAATAGCGGAACCCCCGGTATTCCTAATCCCTATTTATTCTGACTTCTGATGACGATACCTATTTGCCATGATTATATATATAATTTATTTTAATTATATATATTTATTTATATTATTTATTATATTATTTAGGTTAATAAAAATATTATTATATTTATATTTAATAATATTTATTATATTAATTAATTATTTTATTCTATATTATTATATTTTTTATATCATTCTAATACTATATATTAATATTACATTGGCAATGCATGTCTTCATTGCCGTTTACTCAATCAAAACTATTAATGACAATGCCGTTACCTTGCCCATTTGCAACATTGGTATTGAAAATGTATTGATCACCCCGCGCGGCTTCCTAAATAATTTGGCTGTTTCACCTCGCGTCTCCAAGCAAAACCAATGCATTGAAATGCAGCCAACAAAAATAACATATATATACAGCTTCATGTGAAATGCTACCAACGAACTCTGCTACACATATGTGGGACAATAACCACTGACAACTGTTGCAGTGCTCATTCTGACAATCATGGACTGTGTACAGATGATTTTAGTATTCATATGCGTTTATTATTCCTTGGATTAATTTCAGTGGCCGTGAATAAGTTGCTCATTATTCACCCTGCCTCAGTACTGCTGATAGGTCTATGTCCCGGTGGTACTGCCGGAACGATACTTTGGTACGGCTCCGGTTATACCGAACTACCTGGCATACTATATTATATGCGGACCGTTACCTCGCCTACTCCACTAACGAGTCTAGGAGTCGCCTACGCCTACTCCCTATCCGAACCCGAACCGAACCCTAAGCCGTAATCCCTAACCATATCAAATAGGACCAGGTACGTTCCGGCTATACCGGACCGTACCCAGGACGTTCCGGCAGTACCCTGGGGACATAGACCCTTGACTTCTAGTACTATAGCCCGGCATCTGCTGCCGCCAGAGCTACCCCTGATTAATGTCTCAAGCCGCCAGAGCTGCGGTTATCTGTGCACTGACTGAACTTGCTGTGATGATAAAAATTATTATTTGATTGAGAGACGAGATATCCGCAGACCACGAGTTTCACAAAGCTGTCCATAATTTTTTATCAGCTGCCCCCCAAAAAAGCATTAATTTACCATTAAAATTATGCCTTTCCATAAGTAGTCTAATCTGTTTTGTCACAGACCTCCATTTCATGTAGCATCTTCGATGTTATTGTAAATTTATGCAATCCAATAGACCTTTATATGTTAAATTGAGCAATCTTGGGGTGATGTCCTTGACCACAGGAATATGCAAAAATATACCACTACTGGTGTGGCTGGTCTATTTTTGTACAGGTAAATGATTAGCTCTTGCTGGAGGTGAGGCTTCAGGGTCATATGGCTAAAACATGTAATTTGCAGCTATCGACATATATATGGTAACGTGATAAACAGTGGTGGATTGCTGTTGCTAGGAGTGTATAGCGTTGCAGGAAGTAAGCACTGCTGCATACGGGATTGCTAGTACAGGCTGACGACACGCGTACATTTATGGCTAATTGCTAAAGGGTAGATGCAAGGTAAATCACCCCTTTACGGGCAGCGGCAGTGGCTATAGATAGCATTCCCACAGGTGTTATTACTTTCGTTCTTTGTTACATCACGCATTGTTGTATTTGTATAGACTTCCTTTAGCTGGATCACGTAATTTCCCTCGCTCATTTCCCTCTCGGTGGTGGTTCACTCACCTGCCTGATCAGTGTTCGATTTTGAGCGTTGTCTTCTAGACAATACTTGGTCGTGTCTGCGTCATGGAGATAGCAAACATGGACGTTCGTACAGGTTCATTGTGCTTTGGTGCAACAATGTGTTGATCTAATCGTGAATAGCGAGCGTTTAGTTAATGTTAAGGGCCGGACACACTAGGCAATTTAATCGGGCGACTCAATCGCCGGTGAAAATCGCCTAGTGTGTCCAGTCAGTCACCGCCGATTTAGTCGCCTAATTTAGTCACCCGATTCAATCGCATCGATCAAAACGTTTTGATATTATCGGGCGACTGAAATAATCGCCCGATAATATCAAAACGTTTTGATCGCTAGCATTCAAATCGCCTAGTGGGACAGGTCGGCGATAAAGTTGCCCGATTGTACAATTCATTAGCCAATCAGAGTTGTTCAATGATACTGACGTAATTAGACAAAATGGCAGATTCCATGGAGCTAACGTGGTCCTACGACAAAGTGGCAGAGTTGATCACTTTGTGGGAGGCGAAGCCCCCCCCTCTTGTACGATATGTCCCTGTCTGAGTACAGGGACAGAACGAAGAAGGAGGCCGTGAAGGTTTCGATGGCGGCGAAGCTCGGCGTCACCGGTAATTAACTGGGGAAAATTGATAAACAATACACGCGTACTGTAGGCCTAAATTAAGCACTAGTACAAAAATACAAGTCGCTTCACTACAAGTCGTCACGATCCCGTTATATTTGTACTAGTGGTGTTCCGATTAATCGAGTTCGTCGATCATTACTCGTTTGGGCTGTTGAGTTGATTAATCGAGTAGAAAATCGGACGACCGAGTACAACTCGAATTTTTTTTTTTTAACTTTTTTTCCAGAATGTTACATAAACAGTTTGTAAGTACATACCTATACACATACCACTTCGTGGTACATAGACTTGTGAACATTAGTCTTGCTATTGCTATTAGGGATCATATAATATCAAGAGCGTACATAAAGAAGTAAGAACTCGCTGTCAAAAATCGCGTGATGTGTCCACTCGACTCGCGCGATAGAATCGGGCGATAAAGTCACCCGATTAAATCGCCTAGTGTGTCCGGCCCTTTAATTGATGTTACTAGTCAAACTGCTTCACACGGCTTGCAGTTCGGTGCGCAGGAGCACATAAACAGCAGTTATGCATATCTTTGGTATTATAATGTATATCTGATAACAAGTAGATCAATTAGCGATAAAACCTGATCCACACTATTGATATACTCGTGTGTGCTCGTTGCGTATTGTGCGACGAAGACATTTTCTTGCATAAATTTTCATCAACTTCAACTGCCACGGTGTTTTGTTCTGCCTTGGTAATCATGGGAAGTCGTGATTTCAGGAGCTCAGACGCACTGCAGACAGAGTAATGAGAGCCTGCAGCTAGACACGCATCCACAATGAGGACGAGAATAGAGGTGTACGCCCAATTAAGCAGTGTCATCGACTTCCATCGATTGCCGGACCCAACGAATCGATATGAGCTCCTGAAGACAGTTGGGGAAGGAACCTATGGCGAGGTGTTCTCGGCCAAGGACAAGTCAACAGGTAACCACGAGGAAAGCTTGGCCATCAGCACGGCTGATACCAATGACGACTTAGTAGCTGTGTGTCCCATGCTCCCTAGCTGTTCCCCCACTGCCCCTCAATCTCCATTATGGACCATGATCGGCTACCAATATTGCCCCAGCTGAGGGCCCTGCCGTGTCCACGTATCCTAAACAGGGTAGTAGTCCACCTCGACACATGATCCTTCTGTGGGAGTCAATGAATATAATTGGTGCATCTGCCGCGATGGTAGGTGAGCGGACCAGTGTATGGTTTGCTCTGCAGAGGAAATCCATGTATTTACCACGCATCGGCAAGCACTGTGACTGATTGCTAGATACCAGGTGATGAATTGCAGGGTAAATATTTGCCGTGAAACCTTGCTGGTCCTGATCAGTGGTGGCAGTGACCCCCCTAAATAGCAGGTAGCTGTGGCATGACGCCTGACCAATGATACAGTTCCACTAACGACGATTTTATCCGAAAACCGGATGGTGCATTTTGCTTATCCAGGGGTAGAAATTAACTTTTGAACACGGGAGTCCAACCGACTCCCTACCCTCAAAAAGAGGGAGTCTGCATCAAAATGACGGAGGGAGTCCGCAGTCTGAGGTTCAAAATTAAAGATATTAACAATAACGCATACATGTGCTTATTTTGAAGAATCATGCGGTTGCATGTGTGCCAAATTTTCTTTGGAGATTAGCTGAAAAAATACGGTAATTCCGCAAGGCCGTGCTCTGGAACGAACTAGTTTGTATGGCTGAATTTTCAGGGAGTCACACAGACTCCTGCATATGTCAAATCAGAGAGTCCGACAGTAAATCAGGGAGTATTTGACTCCGGACTCCCGTTAATTTCGCACCCTGCTTATCGTAATCATTCGAATTGTTCTCGAACGAGTATTTCAGTGTAACGCATGGCTCTCTCGCCGAGACCCGATTTTTTCCGATCTGTAACAATGTGCGAGTTTCGATGAAATAGGAAAAGTGTGCTGCGACACGACATCTCGCTAGGCCGCGAGTAAAGCATCCAGTAAATCGAGTAAGCGAGTAAAGCACCTCACGAGAGCGGGAAAATCACCTCACGAGAGTGGGAAAATCACCTTAAAGTAGAGAGCAGGTTTAGTTGCCGTTACTGCAGCGAACCGTCGAGCCATTGACGCGTGCGCTTAAATGGCTGATTAACGGCGCCGCATTGATGATTAATGAGCCTTCGCGCAGTTGCTGAGAGCTGCGCGTGGTTACGTGAGTGATTCCTGCAGTTTTCGTAAAGCGCAGCCCGCCCGCCCGCTCGCTCACTCACTCGGCTACCCAACACACCCGCCACTTGCCCCCAGTTTCCATTCGCCCACTCACTCACTCGGCTACCCAACACGCCAGCCACTCGCCCCCAGTCACTCACTCACTCGGCTACCCAACACGCCAGCCACTCGCCCCCAGTCACTCACTCACTCGGCTACCCAACACGCCAGCCACTCGCCCCCAGTCACTCCCACTCGGCTACCCAACACGCCAGCCACTCGCTCACTCGACAGTCTAACCCCCACAACCTCAGTCACACATCACTCGGCCTACCTACACTCCCAACCGGCCACGCGCCCTTCCTCCCACCCACGCATACATCCGCTTGACGCCGCGTCTTCACACCAGCATTTGCTGCTTCAACGGTTGCTTAGCGACATGCGCAGCGCAGACTGAAGGAAGCCCACTGCATCGTGTGCGGCCTGCGTACCAGACCTAACCGCTGCAGACAGACTGTGCGTGAGCACGAACCTCTCGCCACCACCCCCGACACCACACATTCGCGCGGTTCCGTCTTATGGCTCCGTCATTAAGGCTCCGTCTTATGGCTCCGTCATTAAGGCTCCGTCTTATGGCTCCGTCATTAAGGCTCCGTCTTATGGCTCCGTCATTAAGGCTGCGTCTTATTAGGCGAATTCATATCGGCGCGCCGCCGTGTGTATCCATCCCACGCGGCCTGGTGTCTTCCCGGTGAGACTGTTGCTGTTGCACTATGTGTGAGCTGCTAGCAAGCCGAGTTGATTGATTTGCATTATTAATGCGGTGGGCGAAGTGAAGAAGTGTGCTTTTAAATGTGGCTGGCTGGCCTGATGATGATGATGATGATGATGATGATGATGATGACGATGATGATGACGACGACGATGATGATGATGATGAACGGCCGTCTCGAGCGCGTGCGTAGTCACGCGTGTGTGCCTACCTACAGTATCACCTACAGCTTTTGTGCTGGCTTTCAATAACAGGTGCGTGCTCTCTCGGCAGCTTATTTGGTCAGCGCTCCTGCGCTTGAAAAGTGCCGCCCGCCCGCGCTGGCAGCTTGGGAGGGGAGGGGAGGTGAGGGTCGTGAATGCTGTTACATCCGGCCAGGTATCCTCCCCTAATATCCCCCCCCCCCGATAACTTACGTTGGTTCGAGAAAACGCAAAACATGTAGCAAAAACAATAACGAGATCGAATTCGAGTAGATGCATTGGATTCCCACGGGCGGATGCAGGTGCGTGTCTGTGTACGAGCGTGCGTGCGTGCGTGCGTGCTTGTGTGTGTGTGGGGGGGGGTATCACTCTCACATTAACCCCCCGCCCCCCAAACACACCCACTAGCACCACGCACGCACGCACGCACACAACACACACACACACACACACACACACACGCACACACACACACACACGTACCTACAAGTTACATTTTGTTATGTAATATTAGGTAATATCAATAGCTCATAACTGATAATGCATGGTTTAGGTATTATCAGCTCTTGTATATTATCATTATATAGCTGTTTACGAGTACTACAGCGCTATGAATTTAGGTATCAAAGAGAGCCAGCCAATTGCTGGCAATGGCAAGGGCGCGCCCGGGTTTTCGTTGGGTTAACTATAACAGCGGTCCCCTCATGCATTCCCCGTAGCTGCGTGCCCTTTTTACACATGGCTAGAATCTGCCGGCTCTTGAATCGGCTAGTAATATCAAGAGCTTATAAAAGGATGCTTTTATAAGGACCTTTTATAAGCTCCTGGTAATATTTTATGCCAATTATTTAAAGTGGTTGTCGTACGTGTTATGAATAAAAAAACTATCGTGGAGAAGCGATTCCCAATCCAAATTCTCTGCAACCCAATTGCAAAGTTGTAGCTACCAGGAAGCCGAAGTTGTAGCTACCAGAAGAAGAAAGGTGTCCGTGCGGTCGTTACGTTGGTATCATTTTAATACTGTTATTTTATTACTATAATTTTTAGACGTGCACGTGAAAAGGAGCGCTGGTATCGGAGCGTTCCATCGGAACAGCAGGTCTCCCGTTAAATTTAGCGTGGCCTGTCACGATAATTTTTATTGTTATCTAAAAAAATTGTAGATGAGATATGGCCTATATTATTTTAATTATACGTGGAAGTCGAGTCGATTCATAACAGTACTGATTTTCCTGTCAATGTAGGGGAGTGAGTGATTAGTAGTAGTATAGTAAGTAAGTTCTGTAGTCTACGCTTAGTTAACTTTAATCAAAGTAGGTTTTGTAGCCGTATTCAATCTGCGACAGCAGCCCGTAAAGGCAAAACGCAAGTGCATTGCACCTTTACTGTCTTTGTTTGGTTCCATAACAGTTAACACACAGTACTGTAGGTAATCAGAGGCCCTTGACACTGCATGCTCGGTAATGCGTTGATGCCATAGCTAGCTTGCGTACATAGTGGCGTTCATGTATAAGGAATTATCATGCGCATTACAGAAACATTTCTGGTTACGTTCGCGTTGCAAATAGATAAAAATGCAGTTACAGCTAACTTGAATGGGACTGGAAATTTCATGATCAGCTAGTCTTGATAACATGATAGACAGGTTACAATGTTTTCTCTCTCTCGCACTCCCTGCTGTCTTTATAACCTAGCTCACCGATTAGTAGTAGTAGTAAGTAAGTTCTGTAGTCTACGCTTAGTTAACTTTAATCAAAGTAGGTTTTGTAGCCGTATTCAATCTGCGACAGCAGCCCGTCAAGGCAATACGCAAGTGTATT